AAAGAAAAGAAATTACAAGGATGCTCCAAGAGGAAAGGAGTGGTGAGGGGTAGGCCTGGAGAGGTAGCCTGGCATTTCCCGTGTATGCTGTAGTAAGAAAAGGGGCAGAGAGACCAGTTAGGGAGCTACTGGTGTGTTAAGAGTGAGGTGGAGTTGGAGGGGAAGAATTACAAAAGTAGAATCCACAGGGTGTAGTCATCAGATGCATTTAGGATCACGACATTCACTGAGATGCAGAATACAGATGGAGGAACAGAATCATGGTGAGGAAAGGATTAGAGGTGAGTTTAAAATTAGAAACCTAAGCAAATATCACCCTGATCCCCAAACCAGGAAAGGACCCAACAAAGAAAGAAAATTATAGACCAATATCATTAATGAATATCGATGCAAAAATATTCAGTAAGATCTTAGCAAACAGAGTTCAAAAAAACATCAAAAAAATTATACACCATGATCAAGTTGGTTTTATTCTGGGGTTACAGGGTTGGTTCAACATACACAAATCTATTAAATATAATACATCATATCAATAAAGTAAAAAAACAAAGACCATATGATTCTCTCAATTGATGCAGAAAAAGCATTTGATAATATCCAGCATCCTTTCATGATCAGAACACTTAAGAAAATAGGCATAAAAGGGACATTTCTTAAATTGACAGAGGCCAGCTACAGCAAACCCACAGCCAATATCATATTGAATGGTGTAAAACTGAAAACATTTCCGCTCAGATCAGGAATGAGGCAAGGATGCCCCTTCTCCACTGCTATCCAACTTAGTAATGGAAATCTTAGTTATCGCAATTAGGCAAGAGAAGGCAATCAAGGGTATCCAAATAGGGTCAGAGGAGATCAAACTCTCACTCTTCATGGATGATATGATCCTATACCTGGAAAATCCCAGGGATTCAAATAAAAAACTCTTAGAAGTGATCAAAGAATACAGCAGCATCTCAGGATACAAAATCAATACTTATAAGTCAATAACTTTTATATATGCAACAATAGTCAAGCTGAAAATATAGTCAAGGATCTATTCCTTTTACAGTAGTGCCAAAGAAGATGAAATATCTGAGAATTTACCTAACAAAGGACATGAAAAATCTCTATAAAGAGAACTATGAAACTCTGAGAAAAGAAATAGCTGAAGACGTTAACGAATGGGAAAACATACCATGCTCATGGCTGGGAAGAATCAACATTGTTAAAATGTCCATACTATCCAAAGCAATCTTCAGATTTAATGCAATCCCTGTTAAAGCACCATTGTCATACTTTAAAGAGCTTGAAAAAATAGTGGTTCATTTTATATGGAATCAGAAAAAAACCTTGAACAGCAAATACATTACTCAGAAATAAAAACAAATCAGAAGGTATCACATTAACAGACTTCAGACTATACTATAAATCTACAGTGATCAAAACAGCATGGTACTGGCACAAAAACAAAGGTAAATTTATGGAACAGAATACAGAACCAAGAGATGAACCCAGCTACTTATTGTCATTTGGTCTTTGACAAGCCTATCAAAAATATTCAGTGGGGGAAAGACTCCCTATTTAACAAATGGTGCTGAGTGAACTGGCTGGTGACCTGTAGAAGCCTGAGATGGACTCCCACCTTTCACTATTAATAAAAATGGATTCTCACTGGATAAAAGATTTAAACTTAAGACATGAGGCTATAAAAATACTAGAAGAGAGTTCAGGGAAAACACTTGAAGAAATTGGCCTGGGAGAATATTTTATGAGGAGGATCCCGCGGACAATTGAAGCAACACTAAAAATACATTACTGGGATCTGATCAAACTAAAAAGCTTCTGCACAGCCAAGAACATAGTAAGTAAAGCAAACAGACAACCTTCAGAATGGGAGAAGATTTTTGCAGGTTATGCTTCCAACAAAGGTCTGATAACTAGAATCTACAGAGAACTCAAACTAATCAATAAGAAAAGAACAAATAACCCCATCTCTAGGTGGGCAAGAGATTTGAACAGAAACTTCGCTGACAAAGATAGGCACATGGCCTACAAACACATGAAAAAACATCATCCTTAATCATCAGAGAAATGAGAATCAAAACCACTTTGAGATATCATCTAACTCCAGTAACATTAGCCCATATCACAAAATCCCAAAACTACAGACATTGGTGTGGATGCAGAGAGAAGGCAACGCTTCTATACTGCTGGTGGGAATGCAAGCTAATCTGACCTTTTTGGAAAGAATTTTGGAGAATAGGGTGGCATCTGTGGCTCAAAGGAGTAGGGCACTGGCCCCATATGCCAGAGGTGATGGGTTCAAACCCAGCTCCAACCAAAAAAAAAAAAGAAGTTTGGAGAATGTTCAAGGAACTGAAAGTAGACCTACTGTTTCATCCTGCAATTTCTCTACTACCAGTAAGTATATACTCAGATGATCAAAAATTATTTTACAACAAATACATTTGCACCAGAACGTTTATTGTAGCCCAATTCATAATTGCCAAGACATGGAAACAGCCCAAATTCCCATTGAACCATGAATGGATTAACAAATTGAGGAAATGTACACCATGGAATACTATGCAACCATGAAAAAGATGGAGACTTCACATCTTTTATGTTTACCTGGATGGAGCTGGAACATATTCTTCTTAGTAAAGTATCTCAACAATGGGAAAAAAGTGTACAATGTACTCAATACTACTATGAAATCAATATATAATCACCTACACATTCATATGAATGGTAAAGCATAATCCAGAAAGTAGAAGGGAAGAGGAGAGAGAGGGGAGGGGAGGTGGGAGAATATTTGGGAGGACCTCACCTAATGTGCATGATGCAATGGTACATTTCAAAACTATTAAGAAAAGAGTGTAATTGTGATAGATGTATTACTTAGTTCAATGTAAGCATTTCACATTGTATATCAAATCAGTACACTGAAACCCATAAATGCCACAGTTATGATTTAATAAAAAAAAAAAATCAGAAACCTTAAAGATCAAGAAAATGCTCAGGAAAGAGCTGGATGCAATGGCATGAGCCAGGAATCTCAGCTGTGTGAGAGGATTGCTTGAGCTGGAAGTTTGAGACCAAACTGGACAACATAGTGAGATCCTATCTGAAAAACCAATAAACAAAAAAGAATAGCTAAGGAGAAAAGAACTGGCAGGGTGGGAAATTCTAAACTTCTTTTCCTATTTCTCACTTTCCTTTTACAGTTAAGCTTTCCAAAACATGTCTCTATCTTTGCTATTACTTCTTTCTGGTCTCACAGGTTCCCCCTTAAGCCACTTTTGGCATGACTTCTGTTCCTACTACTGCACTGAATATGCTCTTCCTAAATTCACCGATGACCTATTAACTGCTTTAATTGATATATGCATTTAAGTTTTACTATATTCGATGACTCTGCCACCTCCCACACCTTCAGCATTTGATTTTTATTTATTTATTTTTAATTTTGAGACAGTCTCACTTTTGTCCTCAATAAAGTGCTATGGCCTCATAACTCCCAGCAATCTCAAACTCCTGGGCTCAAGAGATCCTCTTGCTTCAGCCTCCTGAGTAGCTGGGACTACAGGTGCCCACCACAATGCCTGGCTTTTTTAGAAACTCTAAACTCTCAGTCTTTCTCAGAGTGGTCTTGAACTGAGGTCAAGCAATCTGCCTGCCTCAGCCTCCCAAAGTGCTGGGATTACAAGCATGAGCCATCACACCCGTCCTAGCATTTGATGTTGATGGCACTCTCTATCTGAAACTTCTTTTCTTTAATTTCTAGGCTATCCATAGCTTTCCATCCCCCCTTCCAGATCTGTGAATATACTGTAGTCTTTGTAGATTCTCTTCTTTTCCATCATCCAAATGTTCTGATTTCTAGGCTTGTTTGGTAGATATTAGAAGTTGACTCAATAAACATCCATTTTAACCTCCCCTCCCAAAGCTCTCTGCTACTATAGAGGCTGGAAAGATGAAATATTCATTTTTTAAAAATCTTTCTTTGAAGTTAGGAATGGCCATGGGGCACAATTTGGACCATGAGATATGGGTAGAAATCCTAGGAGAGAGTTTCCCTTTCCCATTAGAAAAACAACCTGACAGCACTTCACTGGGGCAGCACATACGCTAAAATTGGAATGATACAGAGAAGATTAGCATGGCCTCTACACAAGGATGACATGCAAATTCTTGAAGCATTCTATATTTCTGTACATGGCACACCTCTGGTTGCAGGACACAACTACAACAGGGACCTTACATACCAAATGCAAACAATGTAACCTAATTGTACCCTCATATTAATCTGAAGGGGAAAAAAAAGACAACCTGACAAAGGAAAGGTTTCTTTCTTTCTTTTTTTTTTTTTTGAGACATTCTTTTATTTGTCACCCTCGGTAGAGTGCTATGGTATCACAGCTCATAGCAACCTCAAAGTCTTAGGCTTAAGCAATTCCCTTACCTCAGCCCCCTGTTGTAACCCAGCCCTCTTTCCCCTGCCCACTCCTGTTCCCCCCCACCCTCTCCAGCCCATTTCCCTCCTCCTCCCTTCTCCCCCCAGAGTCGACTCCAGGAACAAGGCAAGTCCCTCCTCATCCCAGGGTGGCTGAGAATGTGCTTTCCAGCCACGTTCCCAGGCCCCCTTCTTCCTCCTAGGGTTGCCAAGAACAAGCTTCAGGTACAAGGAAAAAAGTCTCAAGTTTCATAAAGCCCCCAAGTTCTCAGTAGATGAACAATGGTGAAAAACTCACTGAGACTTGATTAATTACTGTTATATAACCATAACCATTGTGATATAAAATGTGTCCATTGTCAACTGAAACTGTATTAATTATTGTTCTATTGCTGTATCTATGACTACCTGAGTTGTAATCCCCCTTAACCAGCCACGTTTCACTTCTGTAATATGCTTACACAAAGCCTATAAAAGGTAACTCACACTCTTACCGGGTGCTGACTGTCTCTCAGAGCAGCAGCCCCTGCAGCAGGTAAAATAAATTACCAATTAATTAACCTAAGTGGGGGTCCGAGTCTATTTTTCCAGGTCCCCTAAGTTATTTCACCCCCCAAGTAGCTGGGACTACAGGTGCCCACCACAATACCCAGCTATTTTTAGAGACAAGGTCTCACTCTGGCTCAGGCTGGTGTTGAACCCATGAACTCAGGCAATCCACTCACCAGCCTCCCAGAGTGCTAGGATTGTACGCGTGAGCCACCATGCCCCGCCCATTCTTCCTTTTTCTTAGAACCTGTACCTGAAGTTTGAAGTGCAGCTGGAATCTTTTTTTTTCTTTCTTTTTTTCTTTTCTCCCTTCCCTTCCCTCTTTTTTGTGAGTCATGGTCCTTTTTTTTAGAATCTGTACCTAAAGTTGGAAGTGCAACTGGGATCTCTTCTCTTCTCTCCTCTCCTCTCCTCTCTTTTCTTTTCTTTCTTTTTTATGAGTCAAGATCTCCAGAGCTCAGCAGTTCAAGACCAGCCTGAGCAAGAGTGAGACCTCATCTCTAAAAATAACCAGGTGTTGTGGTAGGTGCTTGTAGTCCCAGCTACTTGGGAGGCTGAAGCAAGAGAAATGCTTGAGCCCAAGAGTTTGAGGTGGCATGAGCTATGATGCCACAGTACTCTATTGAGGGCGGCAAAGTGAGGCTCTGCCTCAAAAAAAAAAAAAAAAAGAAAAGAAAAGAAAAAAAAAATCCTAACTGATAAAATGTCTTGGACATTTATTCTCCTCATTTTCCCTTACGTTATAGGGAGGTCTTATCTACATCCTTGACTATAATCATCACCAGCATAGAGTTGACTTATAAACTCCACATCTGTGTCCAGAACTTTCCACTGAGTTTTGGACTCTACTCAACATTTCCACTTAAATGTCTGCATCAATGGAATTGAATGTATGCAAATTTCCTTATGCCTTCCAACTTAAAATACCAAGCTGGAAGTTTGAGCATAGCAAACATCTTATTGTTTTAATTTTGTTTTTTTAATTATTATTATTATT